TCTCATTGTGCAGGCTGGTCAGGATAAGTGGTCCCAGCCTTCCACATGGAATTTACAGACATCAGACTGAAATGCAGCAGAAGGGAGCAACCAAAGAGCTTATTTCAGGTTTTTATCACTATTGTGATGGTATTGGATCTAGGTCCATGATCTGCTGTGCTAAACAGCAAATTAAATCCTGGAAAAAATCTTAAATAAAAACAAGCAAACATTTTCTGAGTTTAAAATTTTAATCTGAACTGTTGGCTGGCCGATGACCTTAACTCACAGATGTTACCTCATAGCAGACCTGTTGCAATTTTGCTGCACACTGGGTGACAGTGGCCAGAGTATTCAGCTGTTTGTTTCCAAACTAGAGCACATCTGCAACTACTTCTTCAACCTCATAATTTCTATGGTCTGTGATCTGTCCATAAACCTTCAGGTAGGTGCTGAGCTTATTTTTTCACGAATGTTCATCCTGGGTCTGTGCTGCTACAGTCAGAGCCTGGTCGTGGGTAGCAAAAACTGATAAACTTGGAATTTGCAGACTGCAAACCTTTGACACCCCATATATCCAGCTACATAGGACAGGCTGCATTCTTCCCATAATGTGAAACTGCTTTTAAGATGGGATCAACAATAGATAGTTGCATAGAAGAAAGAAAAATCTCATTAAAAATCAAAAATAAAGATGTGTTATAATAATAATTTTACTGGTCATTTATATCTCAGTTTAAGAGAAATAAAAATCAATTTTCCTATTTTCTTTGGTCAAATTTAGTAATGCTTTTTCATAATATACAGAAAAATAGCCTATATTTTGTGAAATTATATTGCAGCTGTTGTTCTGAATGAACTGGTTTTATTTCATATGTCTTCAACAACCAAAAGGAAAGATTAGTAATCAATCATCTTGATCTGTAATCTCCACTGAGCATTTACCCCATGTGAGCCCGAGATGCCTACCCACAAGATATATCCTTCAACATCTCCAAGCTCATTCAGCTGCAACATGAGCAAGTAGCAGCCTCAGAGCTGCTCTGAGTTAAACTGGCAGTGAGGCATCATGTTCCAAGAGCTGGAGTCTGCACTGTGAAAGTGCCTCTGAACTGGGCAGGAGGAGCGAGGGGACTGTGCTACTGGACCTTTTTCATCTCCATTCAGTGACCTGTGGAAGATGGGGAACAGAAAGACACAGACCCATTTTGTTACTAACAGCAACGCTACTCTGGCTCCTTTACAGACAGTCCCTCTCACTTGTTGTGCCCCATTAGACAAGAGTTAAAACGAGCAATTAAAAATACCAACATTTAAATTTTAGAAAGCGGAAGCAGGCTGGAATCATCCAGAGCAGACAGCAGGGTCAACAGCAGGCAGGGTCTGTAAATTGACTCTGTCTGGTGTGAGCAAACTTAGGTAACTGCTGATTAGGCAGGTCTTTTGATGTGCCTTTTGTGAAAACAAATTCAAGCTGCTACCTTCCATACACAGCACAGCTGATGATAGGTTGTTACTTAAAGGTCTGGGAAAGCAGCTCTCAGATCCCCAGCTTGTCAGAAAAACCAGCAGGAGGGGGCAGGAATAATGAAAACCAATGTACCCTGAGAACTGGATGGGTACCACTGGAGCAGGAGTCAACAGTGTGATGTGCCCCAGAACATATGGCAGGAAACTGTGTAAAGTCAAAGCTGACCCAGGACACCAAAAGAGCTTCTGTGTATTCATTACTTGCTGTGCTTGGGTCCTGACAGGGCAAACAGTATCAGTTATGCTTTTCTTCCCCTGTGCAGGGTGGCACAGCTTTAAGATGCTTCCCTATCCTTGGAGAAAGAGACTGCAGAATTGCACTGACAGGTACAGCTGGTTGGAAGGGGAAGGAAAAGCAGCTGTTGTAGTGATGCCTGTGCTGGGGGAGGTGGCAGTGCATTGACAAGTGTCATCAGCAGCTGGAGCAGAGCTGAGCAGCAGCACAGATTGATGGTGGTGGGAGTTCAAGCTATTCCTGTAACCCCCGTACCCACAAAACATTTGCTTTTTTCCAGTATCAAGAAAGTTTTCAGACAGCGCTTAATGATTCACTTCCCTTACAAATGAATAGCAGAAAACATCCGTTAATCAACAAAACCCTCTCATTGCTGTTGATAACAGGTTTTTTCATAGGTGTTTAAAAAAAAAAAAGTCCATTTCCAGCTGTCACATATGAAAAATTCTCAAAATAGCTGAGAATTTGAAAGCTATTTTAGGATTTTTAGGTTTTAAAGAACTTTCTGACTGGGAGTGTGAGACCACACTCACAAGCACTGGGAATAATTCTTATTGTTGTTATTTAATTCCTGGTAGTAGGTACTAATCTTATTAGGGGAAAAAAAAAAAAAAAGAAAACCAAAAAAACAAGAACTGTAGGAAACTACTATATTTTTTACCTGACCTACTCTGCAAAAGGCAGCTGCTGTAATTTTACATGCAGCTCCAGCAGCAGCTGTTTATCTAATGAGCTTTGGAAGACCAGCTCTTCCAGCCCGACAGCTCTGAGAAATACAGAAGCATGGCAAAAAGTGGCATTGATGTTTCAATAAGTGACATTCTTTCCTTTGAGTCAGCATGAACAAAATGCATTGGAATAACATTAAAGGTGCTGGGATTCTCCACCTTCATATAAGGCTTAAAGCCAGCACCCATCTTCTTCTTCACAAGAGACTCTCCAGGGCACGGATGAGAAATAAGTGTATGTGGTCATAGACTTCAAGGAGTCTATGAAAGACAGAGACATTTTGGGGAAGGAGAGAGTAATTTTGGTTTTTTGCAGTACCTATGAGTTGAATAAATGCTATTGGATAGTTCTGCATGGATGGATAGGTAGCATAAGCTACCTCTAAACAGAGTATTTGAGATCCCTTAAATATGAGTCCTGTCATAGCACTGGATCTTCATTCAGGAGTTCTCTGCAAGTCCATATGATGCTGCTGCTCCAACGCAGTGCAGTGTAAGGCTCATATCCTTACAGCATTGTGCCAGAACGTCCTGCTGCTGTAACCTTTGTGGTTAAGCCTCTAGCTTAACTAGTTAAGTTCTCACAGCACAGTTAAAAATAAAATGACCTCTTTCTTTCTCTTGCTGCTGTCACAATTGTCATTCCCCACCAGATCTCCTAACTTCCCACTGCACCCCGCTGGCTCTGCTGCCCCTGTTGTCTCAGTCCAAAGAGTTTCTGAACAAGAGACATGCTTTTATGGAGCCTGGCAAAGCTTCAGAAGGGAAAAGGAAAAATCAATACCACTTCAAAGCAAAGTCTTTGCTTCAGTGAATATGACATTTGCCCTTTCCTCACTAGTGGGAAAAACAACAAGGACACTTACACCGGCAATGGAAATAGAATGAACAACAACAGAGAGACCTTCCAGGTTTGACTTGTAAAGGGGAATAGCTTTATAGTCATTGTCCCTATTTGGTGACATCAAAAGCAGGTGTAGGGTGTTAGGCAGTGCAGCCTGGGAATGAAGTGGAAAGTAACACAAAGTCAAAGAGAAGAGAAGGAATTTGGAACAAGAGATAATGGACTCTGTTGAAGAAACGGAGAAGGAAAGACACGACACAAAGGTCAGGTCCATCGTGGCACAATCAAATCAGCTACGAAATGTCACCTGAAAAGGTGGGCCATAACAGTAAAAGGACCTTCCAGTAAGTTTTACACCATTTTGACAGCTTTGCAGTGACTGAAAATGGTGACAGAACCTCACATTTTGCTAATGAACAGCTTTTTGGTAGGGTTGAGCAGGTCAGAAATTTTCTAACAGAAACTGAAAATGCCAATTAAGGAAATTAACGTTTCTGCAAAATCAAAAGAACTTTGACAGATTCTCACTGCTGATTTTGGAGGATTTACAAAAATTTAAACTAAATGTAAACCTTAAAAATTTGCTTCAATCATTTTACACATTCAATTTTTCATTTATTTAATTGTTTCTAACTACTTTCGTTTCAAAACTATATGCTTATTCCAAGTTCTTAATTTCATTCTTTTTTGACTATGCAACTTTTTAGCTAGTTTTCCAAGTTGTTTTGTTTTGATGTTTCTATTTCTGTGCCATTCTTCATATGTAATTTTGTGGACCTTTTTCTTTTGGAATACCATGTATTGTTTCAGTAGACTTTGTGTAATTGTTTGAAAATAGTCTTCTGTAAAGAAAGTATTTTCCTTATGTGAAGCTGTGCCTTTCAGCTGCAGCTGCCACTGGCTTTGTTGTAGTTTCTGGCCTGTGCAATGGATAATTTACAGCATCTACCTGTCCCTGCTGGGAGGGATCCCAGGTCAGCTGCTGTTGTTGCTGTCATGTAACAGAGCTTCATCCTGGGTGAATCAAACAGTAGGATTTCTGAGGAGCACACAGGTAGTGGACCAGGACAGTCATGTACTCATACTCTGACCCCTGTACTTGTGCTGGGTGAGAGTTCTGCAGCTGCAAGAATCAATAAAAATGTATTGATTTCTCCACACCGTCATAAAGCTTGTCTGCTCTAATCTCCAGTTTGCAAGCTGAAAAAGGAGATTGTAAAACTAAAATTATCTTACACTTTTCCTCCTTTTTCTTCCCCCTCTCCGTGCTTGCACAGGAGACCAAGATCTCTTTCTGACAGAGCCACCTGGCCAGGAAGGGGTAGCCCCCCTTGCTTTATCAGGGCAGCCTACTCTGTTATTGCTCAGGTTGTGAGAATAGCTGCTTTTGAAGCTTTTTAAGTAAGGAGAAGTGCAGGGTGGGATTTCCCAAAAGGCAGAAGTTAAATGATTTCGCTGGGCTTAACTCATCCCTCTACATGCAAGCAACATCAGTCAAGGAAATGCTTGTGACTGAAGAGCTCAGTGCACCTCTGGATATTCCAGATCCATATAAAGTTGCTTTTATGGAGTAATTTCAGCTATGCTTGATGTTTTCTGTTCTAGGCAGAAGATAGGTAGCCCCTACTCATCTGAAGAATATGGCAATGTCCTTCCTTGGTAAAATACGTCTCAGTGTTAAAAATGAAGCAGGTGAAGGGTGAAGCAGTATTTTCAATAATATTTAATTTCACAGAAACTGTCACCCAAAGCCATACCTGTCAAAAGGTGAGTGGGCAGGTCTCTATTTCTGGTACTCACAGAGATGGATGCAGCTGTTTGTCAGTTGTAGAGTCAGTCTTGGTTAAATCCCAAAGTCCTGATACAACACATGGGATGCAGTCATAGAACTATTTATTATATGTTTGGGTTTTTTTCAATGGAATCAACTCAAACTCCCTTTTGGATGTTCCTCTTTGTGGCATGAGCACAGCTGAGTACGGTAATTGGAGAAATTGTTGCACATTAGTCGTTAACCTTCTGCACACAGGTATTATTGGATAATATTTCAGTATTTAAAATACTAATAGTGTTGACTATATTAACACTGCTTTGTGAGGTATGAAAAGGTTGGGAAAAAGGGCTGATTTTCATACTGGTGGTAATGGCTTCCCATGAAAACCCGCCCTGTAACATTATTGGGGTTTGCAGGTGCAAGGCCATGGAAACAATAAACAAAGAAGTGAGAACAACAATGGGAACACGGTGCCTCTGCAGCTGGTGTGAAAGATTCCAGAGCTGTTCGATCTTACTGCTAAGGCTGAGGCACGGGGGCACCTGAGGCACAGCACAACAGGCCAAATTCAACTTTAGCATAAGCAGATGTGATGTTGTAGTGCTCAGTGTCTCATCTTGGCTTCATGGTCTTGCAATAAGGCATAAGAACATAGCCTTTTCATCAAAATATACATTTCAGCCAATCTACACTTTGGGTTTCATTCTAGAATGGTGTTTATTCAAAGAATATAATACTTCCTAAATAAACAAACAAAACCTCACATCTCTCCCCTCCCCGCCACATGGAATTCAGTATACCATAGCCCACGGATCACAAAGTGAGTCATGCTGACGTACAGAAATACCACCCAGTCAAGCTGGTAAAACAACCCAGATTTGAGAGATGGAGGTCTCTAAATTAAGAGTGCTCTGCTGCTCACCCCCAGGCTGTTAAAGCTCATGACTGTCTGCTCCAGCACCACAGTTGCTATGGCAATTCATATAGACAAAATGAGTAACCTGTCAGTAACCAGGTAAAAAGCTAGGACTTAAATTATCCTCAGAAATTAACAGAAAGCTGATATAGACACCAAAGAATCAATCCACTGTATTTTCTGTGTCCAATACCACTTCACAGGCAGGCAGCTGCATTTTGTATAAGCTGCACATTTGCAATGCCTTTGAACACTCCCACCACACAGAGCACATTTGCAGCAACTCTGACTTGGGGAAAATAATAATAAACTCTTGTAAAGAAACTAGGAAGAGACAAAAAGTCTAAGCAGACTCAGACAATGCCTACTTGGATGCTACTCTAAAAAAAAGTCAAATGGTATCTTATTAGTAGATATTTTTCAGATTCTTTGGCATAATGCTAAAACAGAACCTGAGCACCTGTAAATGACAAATTTTTAACAGCAGAGAAACAGGCACGTGGCTATGACAGGATCTGTTGTATTTTAGAAGTGGCAGGCTGGACCTTTTTTCCATTTAATTAGTGAATATATCTTGTTCATGCTCCTAGTACTACAGCACCTTAAATCACATTATAATATGCTTCTCAGTAGAAAAGAAATTGAAAAAAACAACAGAATTGTCAGCAGCTACTTTTATACAATTTCATAATCTCAGTTTTGCCATCTCCAATATGAATTCAGTGATACAAATAAGGGATTTATCAAATGGAGACCACAGATTTAGCACACTGAAACTTTCTTATGTCACTCGCAAACACTGTTATAAAGTGCAAAATATCAGCCCAAATAACAGCTAAACCATGTATCTGAATGTGCATTTCTAAGGATTTTCAGTATTCTTCTTCCTCCCCTGGAGGTGCAAATGCCCCCAAATGGGTGGCAGACAGGTACTCCCTTCCCTGCCCCACCAGGCAGAGCTTCTAGACGGGCCGAACCAGAAACACTGTGACTCCCACAAGGCTGTGGCATGAGAGATCTCACTTTATGGGGCACCACCAAGGTAGAAACAGTCACCCACAGCAAAGCTCTGAGCATGGAAATCTGCCAGCTGTCACTGACTGTCAGAACAGGAATCACAGAATCATTCAGTTTGGACAAGACCTTTAAGATCATCAAGTCCAGCTGTTCCCCCAGCACTGCCAAGCCCACCACTAAACTGTGTCTCCAACTGCCACATCTCCACGTCTTTTCAATACCTCCAGGGACTCACCTGGATGCCACCAAGAATTTGACAGAGCCAGAATTACTTTTAATGTTGCTGAGCATCATTGCAAGGAAGAAAGGACAGTGTCTCCTGTTAGGTACAGCTCTTCCTTGCAAAGCGCAGCTCAGTCCTGTAACATTTCATTCCTTGCCCTGCCTGGACATCCTCCTTCTTGGAAAGCTGCAGACATGCCAAGTAAATCAAAGGTATAAGAATTTATGAAACCCAAAGCAGCACTGGATTTTGGAATGACAGCATGATTGTATATGGGCTCTAATAAAAGGCAAAGGTTCCCTGAAGCCTCAGGCTATGAAGTGGAGTAGAGCAATGTGATTAAGAGAGAGTTAAGATGTATTAAACTTTGAAGAAAAAGGCATTCTGTTAGTGACATGTTAATAGATCCCAGGAAAGATTTGTTAATGGACTAAAAATTGAGAAACTCTTTGAAGGCAGCACTAAGTAAAAAGTAAATCACTATTTCTCTGTGGGTGAGGTTCACTTGGAACCTGGAGAAAGCAGGAGCGCTGGGTACACCCAGGGCTTCCTGGCTGGGGCTTGGAGGCTGGGACACAGGGACACAGGGACACAGGGACACAGGGACATGGGGTTGGTCCCAGCATGCTCCCAGCCCTGGTGCTGTACCACAGCTCTGCACAACCACACCTGGTCTTAGGTCTTTCTTCCCATCCCACCAAGCACATGAGTGAATAAAACTTTATGATTTGAGTCTATGAAGGTGGCTGGGGGTGTGGTGATTTCCTGAAGAGCTAAATAATGACTAATTTTCAATTAAAAGACACTGTAGTGGGGCAACAGCTAAAAATAAAATGCTATCTCATCGAAGTCTGAACCTTGTAAGGACACTGAGCCCAGTAAAAACCTTCCTCTGGCTGGTATGAGAAACTAAAATTTACACTGATAGCAACCCAAAAGCAATAATAATAAGGGGGGGAAAAGGGGCAGTAAAATGTTTATCTTGGCCTGATCTTTTTTCTGTGATCTCCTTTCCAAGTTGACATATTGAAAGCAACAAAAGTGACAATATTTTGAAGCACATGCACTTCTGAAAGGCAGAAAGCACCAGAACAAGTAATGCTGTCTCCTCTCGATCCTGAAAGCCTGATTTATTCTTGCTGCATTATTATAAAAGGTATATATTTTGTGACATGCTGAAAGCACTAGGGGACCTTGGCCCATCTTACATATTTGGCTTAACTTCATATTTTAATTGGATGCTTCTGAATTTCCACAATAATAAACAAAAAACAGCAAAGGCAGATAAATCAAGCACCTTTCACCAAATCAGTTCATAATCTCCCCTCTGGGTGGTCAGTTTTGCATTAGCTATCAAACATTTTTAAAACCAACTGTTATCCCATGGCACTGAATTCCATGAATAAAATTTCTGTAATGACGTTCATACCTAAGAAATTAAAACCTCCTGGTCGATTTTTAGCTTCCCTATTCACAATCCTAACTAGAGGCAATTTCTTTTCTTCATGGCCTTGTTCAGATGCACCACAGATTCTCAGATTTCCTCACATAAACTTTAACCTGCGTTTCATAGGCAATGGGAAAGTGGCATCAGGAACTTTGGATATGGCTTCAGAGAGGACTGGATGTTACTGGGGTAATTGCACAGCTACTATTGTACTGTCAAGCACAAGCCTTTTCTTCAAAAGAGGCGTTTGGGGAAGTTGAGCAGTGATAATGGTGACAAGAATTAGTAAAACAGGTGCCTAAACCCTGTTCTGTTTTTTTTTTCAAACTTGGGATCCAGCAGCATGCTAAGGAGCATGGCACCCAGCTGATGCTTTAGTCACCCCTCGTGTGCTCAGCTCCTGGGTCAGTCTCAGTGAGGGGGATCCTCTCCTGGCCAAGTGTTTTCCATTGGGAAGCCCCAAACCAGGCTGAGCCCAGGTGATGCAGGCTCTTGTCAGGTAACAGCAGCCAGGAGTTTTGCATTTGGGAGCTCAGCAAGGTGCTCATGAACTGTATATAAGTGTCAAGGGGGAAATGCTTTGATTTAGTCCTATGAGCATCAGTGACTGCAGCTGGGACATACCAGCACTCCCAGGAGTCTGGGTTGGAAAGAAACTTCCAGAAAGAGAGAGCAAAAGCAGAGATGTGGAGTGAGAAGGGGAGAGGTGGGCAGATGGCAGAGGCTGCAACTCTGGGGCCCTGATGTACAGCTGCAAAGCAGGTTTGGAGGGAAGGCTGAAAAGAGTGAGACACCCAGAATACCTTCAGTTGAAGAAGAGGATCCTTCCCCAGAGTGCAAGTAGGTGTTTGAGTATCTTAAAAGGGATGAGAGGGAGCACTTATATGGTTCTTTTACAGATAGTCCTGAATGGAGTGTCCTGAATAGATGTGTCTTGAGGTGGGGGTAGACCAGGGCAATTAGTAGCCAAGGAGCTGTACCTGCTCACCATGCTCTTTATACAGCAACTCAATATGACAAGTCCAAAGAAAGAATTCAATATTGAGGGGAAGGGTTTTTAATTTAAAAAAAAAAAAGTCCTACATCTCTCTGATAGAGTCCTACACAGTAGGAAAATGCCAAACTGCTGATTTCTTGCAATGCTTATGATCCTAATTACTTTATTGATTCAAGGCCTGCATTATATATATTTTTTGTTCTAACTTTTTTTCACTGCTTGTGTTTTTACTACAGTGAGCACTAAAATTTAAGCTCTGTAAGATGGAACTGTCCTAGGGCTTTTTGCTGCTATACATCATAGAGGGTTGGGGTTTTTTTAGGCAATTTCCATATTAATAACTACTTAGCTTTTCCTTTTGGCTTTTGTTTTCCACGAGGAAATAATACCCCT